ATGCTTTGCCACTTGAAATATTCTGTTGTCTCTGATTCCTTATCTAAAGGGTCTTGTAGACATTGGATGATGCCTTTTTACAATTTAATGTCTGTGGTGCACAAGTGTTCTCCAGGTATGTTGGTGAATAACGATTAGGCAGTTTAGGAGAACTTTTGCAATTTCCACTGAAAAGGTTGTTTAGAGTGTGCCTCAACTGTCTGCACACAAACGATCATGCAAAGTCCCCGTTAGTAACTAAGAACCTGGTGTTTCGATAGATACCTTAGTATGATTAGATTTTGTCTGCATGTCCACCACCCTCTATTGTCTAGGGTGTCCCTCATATTGTATGATTACTTCTACACAGCAGTAATCAGAAATCTTGTTTATCTTCTTGTTAACTTTATTTTAGAGTCTTACAAGTCCACCAATAATAGGTAATGCCTGTAGAGCAGACACATTACATGGCAGACAGATTTTCAGTAACAGAAACAGAAGTAAAGTGAAGTTGCTCATGCAATAAAGTTGCCTATTATACTCTGAGATTACATCCCCCATTTTAAAGTGATTACATACTTTCCAAATAAGGCAAGTACTGTATGTCCTCAGGTGCTCATGAAGAAACCCATTGTATTTTGTCATCTAAAATATTCCAGCTGCCACACTATTCTTACTTGACTGGTTAAAAGAAGTTCTAAGCACATGTCTAGAAAATAGGAGGGAAAAGATAAAGAAGTGTCAGTGACTACAAATCACAATGTACTTAAAGGGTTAATCCACTTTTCATTTAAAAAGAAAACGAAAGCTGCTAAACAGGCCATTTTGTAATCTAATAAAAACATTTTTAAAGTATTTTTCTATTTCTTTCTGTATTCATACAAAAATCGAAATGTTGCATTTAACGGCAATTAGAAGTGTTCGATACAATGCATTATGATGATTGTCTCACTGATTTTGCCAGCAATTTTTCTCATAACAACCTGGAGCTGATTGTGTGACCATAGCAGAAAGCCATCGTTTTATAAATTATGTTTATGCCACACCTAGATAATAATATATATAAGCAGATAGTGTGTGTATATATATATATATATATATATATATATATATATGCTGATTTTCAATGTTTGCCCAATCACAAAGAAATGATCAGTCTAAAAATCGAATGGTAGGTGTATTGTAACACTGAGAGACAGGATGGCAACAACAAATTCAAAAGAAATGCATGTCTAACAAATTATGCACTGATTTGCATGTTCATGAGGAAAATAAGTATTTGATCCCCTATCATTCAGCAGGATTTCTGGCTACCAGGTGTCTTTCATACAGGTAACAAGCTGAGATTAGAAGCAGTCTCTTGAAGGGAGTGCTGCTAATCTCATTTTGTTACCTGTATAAAAAACACCTGTCCACAGGAGCAATCAAACAATCAGATTCCAAACTCTCCACCATGGCAAAGACCAAAGAGCTGTCCAAGGATGTCAGGGATAAGATTTTAGACCTACACAAGGCTGGGCTGAGCTACCAAACTATCGCCAAGCAGCTGGGTGAGAAGGTGACAACAGTTGGTGCAATCATTCGCAAATGGAAGAAACACAAAACAACTGTCAGTCTCCCTAGGTCTGGTGCACCATGCAAGATCTCACCTCGTGGAGTGTCAATGATCATGAGAACAGTGAGGAATCATCCCAGAACTACACGTGAGGATCTTGTCAATGATCTCCAGGCAACTGGGACCACAGTCACCAAGAAAACAATTGGTAACAAACTACGCCGACAAGGATTGAAATCCTGCAGTGCCCACAAGGTCCCTCTGCTCAAGAAAGCACATGTCCAGGCCCGTCTGAAGTTTGCCACTGAACATCTGAATGATGCAGAGGAGGACTAGTTGAAAGTGTTGTGGTCAGATGAGACCAAAATCGAAATCTTTGGCATCAACTCAACTCGCCGTGTTTGGAGGAGGAGGAATGCTGCCTATGACCCCAAGAACACCATCCCAACTTGCAAACATGGTGGTGGAAACTATCTGCTTTGGGGTTGTTTTTCTGCTAAGGGGACAGGACAACTGCACCGCATCAAAGGGATGATGGACGGGCAATGTACTGTCAAATCTTGGGTGAGAACCTTCTTCCCTCAGCCAGGGCATTGAAAATGGTTCGTGGATGGGTGTTTCAGCATGAAAATGACCCAAAACGCATGGCCAAGGCAACAAAGGAGTGGCTGAAGAAGAAGCACATTAAGGTCCTGGAGTGGCCTAGCCAGTCTCCAGACCTTAATCCGATTGAAAATCTGTGGAGGGAGCTGAAAGTTCGAGTTACCAAACGTCAGCCACCAATCCTTAAGGACTTGGAGAGGATCTGCCAAGAGGAGTGGGCCAAAAATTGGTCCTGAGATGTGTGCAAACCTGGTGGCCAACTACAGGAATCATCTGACCTCTGTGATTGCCAACAAGGGATTTGCCACCAAGTACTAAGTCATATTTTGTGAAGGGGATCAAATACTTATTTCCCTCATGAACATGCAAATCAGTGTATAATTTGTTAGTCATGCATTTCCTTTGAATGTTTTGTTGCTATTCTGTCTCTCATTGTTACAATACACCTACTATTCGATTTTTAGACTGATCATTTCTTTGTGAGTGGGCAAACATTCAAAATCAGCTGGGGATCAAATACTTATTTTCTTCACTATATATATATATATATATATATATATATATATATATATATATATATACACGATCTGTTCATATGATGTTTTTTTCAACAGCAAATATTAGCATACGCACAGCCTGGAAGACATTAGATAGAACACAAGTAACTGTACTATGCTATGTTGATTTCAAATATCCAATCAGATTTAGCAAGAAATGTGGCTTCCTAAATTTTCTTTAAATCATTTGATATGTAAAGTGAGCACAGTTGGGGAAGCAATATGAGTTAATTTGTCTAGCCTAGAGGTGCTTATACAAGTTACAAACCCATTGTCTGAAAACAGAGAATTTGACAGGTTAAAACAGCAATTAGGCCATTTGTGGAGCACAACTAACTAGGGCAGATCGCCTTGGAGAAAAGGCTCCTTTTATGTTCTTACATTAGTACAGCTCCATGGCTCCCACACTTTTATTTTCATTATTGCAAGTTGACAATGTTGGTTTGGGGATTTTAACATTATATCTTTAACTAAGTCTTACCTCTATTATACAGTAAGTTTAATATCGCACTGCAGGCAAAATATGATCCCCCCCCCAGCCTGTTCTAGCTCTGCCTGCTCTTACCTGGAGAAGTAGGCAGTGATGTGGACATCTGACAAAGGTCCCCACCTGCCATAAAAATAGAAAAGACTTGGATCTGGAGTGTCACCTGAGCTTGGATTTTGGTGAGTAAAAACGCACTAAAATCATCTTGACCATATTACTGCACTAACATGATGACTGAATAGCTTTTTTTTGACAAACCATAAGGGGCTGCATTTTTTTGCCATAAAGATAGTTTGAAGGAACGTCCCTAACCTTTTTTTAAAGTCTATTATACTGTAAAAAAATAAACTTAAATTTGCCTTTTCTTTTCATTTTGAAAAATTTTGTTGAAGTGTCATGATTATTTGAAACATTTTGGATAAAGCGCAGCTCACAATTTGGTCATTCCTAGTAGTCAGTGCCCATGTCTGGATCTTTACTGGTATGTTTCCTCTTAAATGACAACATAAATGTAATTAGGTGTACTAAAAAAAAATATATATATAAAATAAGAATGTAAGAAGCAAATCTTAGGACAGGGTTCTTAAGGATATATATTATATTTTTACAAAATAAAAAATTGTAATTCTTAAAAACTGTCAAAATAAACATAGGGCAAAATTACTTAATCTATGAATTTAGGAACCCAAATGGGTTTCCGTCACGAAGATCATACAAGCCATAGTTGGATTTGAGTTTGATCACCTGCACTTGTGTGGGGGAGTGTGTACATACACATTGCTGATAGTGGTGCCATAATATTTTAGGCCAGAGTGCTGAAAAGTTTTCAGGAGTATACCTGTCTGTGTGATCTGTGATCCTGCATCCTGTCTCTGCTGATTCCTCTTACCAACCCAGCTTGTTTCTTGACTGCTTGTATTGACTTCAGCCTGTTTCACTTTTTCATTTTGCCCTCCACAAGTTACTGACTTGGCTTGTTACTGACCCAGTTATACAACTCCCTATTACTCTAAACCATTTGATGACAGTGTTCCTGTGATGCCAAAATCATTCATTTGTGCCACTCCTTCATGTTTACATACCCATTTCTCTACCTAAGTGTGTTTCGCTACCCTGGTCATCTCGGTTACCCTATCAAGGTAAGTGACACAGTCATTTCTTGGATTTCCATATTGTTATATTTCCATTCATGTTATTAAGATCCACATATTTTTGTGGTTTTTAAATCATGACATACTGATAAATGGCATATGAGCATTCTTGATTTGGGGTCATGAAACATTAAAAAGGGTTGGACATTACTGATCTAAGGAATAAGTAAGGATTACTGACAAATACATGGGTTGCAGATGTGCACATAATAGTATTCCTAGCACATAGACCTAAAACTGTTTGCTGCTGGTACTCATAGAACTTATAAGGAATTCTGGCTCCTATATCTATTATCGTTCTCTCTGCAGTCAAGTTTTTAGTGCACATATAGACCTAACAAATTAAATAAAAGGCACATAAACCCATAGGCAAAAACCATAGGAATATATAATATTTGCAAACATAATAAAGACAAAAAAATGCAAAGAAAGAGTAACCTAGCATTATCTTTGTGCATGAATGAGATAGTTAGAACTATTGGAATTGGTTACCTAAAATACGGTTTTGCTCAAAAGTTTGCATACCTCGGCAGAAATTGTAAAATTTTGGCATTGATATTGAAAATATGACTGATCATGCCAATCAACTGTCTTTTATTTAACTGCCTCCTGCCCGCCATATAGTACAATGACGGGTGCAAGGCGGTTCTCTTGTTCTGGGAGGACGTCATATGACGTCCTCCCATTCTAACCTCACATGTGCAGCTCCAGGAGGACACAGCGGATCACTGATCAACGGAAAGAGCCGAAGATGTCGGCTCGGTCATGTGATCAGCTGTGTCCAATCACAGCTGATCACATGTAAATAGGGAAATGCAGGTTATCGGCAATTCTCTCCTCACGAGCTGTCACGCTGACAGCTCGAGAGGAGAGGAGAGCCGGTAATCTGCATTCCGCGGAGGGGACATGTACACTGATCATCAGAGCACTGATGATCAGTTTGACCTGATGATCTGTGTAGCCCCAGCAGTGCCACTCGTTAGTGTCCATCAGTGCCAGCTTTCAGTGCTCATCCATGCCACCTGCCAGTGCCCATCAGTGCCACATCAGTGCCACTTTTCAGTGCCTACCAGTGCACATCAATGCCAAATATCAGTGCCTATCTGAGTTGCCTTTCAGTGTCACCCATCAGTACCAGTCAGTGCCACCTATCAATGCCAGTCAGTGCCACCTATCAGTGCTGCCAATCAGTGCCAGTCAGTGCCGCCTATCAGTGTGCATCAGTGCCGCCTATCAGTGATGCCTATCAGTGCCACATAACATTGCCAGTCAGTGCCACCTAACAGTGCCAGTCAGTGCTTCCTATCAGTGCCAGTCAGTGCCGCCTATCAGTGCTGCCTATCAGTGCCATATATGAGTGCTGCCTTTCAGTGCCCATCAGTGATGCCTGTCAATGCCCATCAGTGCCACCTACCAGTGCCTCCTCATCAGTGCCCATCAGTGCCACCTATCAGTGTCCATCAGTGCAGCCTATCAGTGCCCATCACTACAGCCTCATTAGCGCACATCAGTGAAGGAGAAAAATCACTTATTTACACAATTTTATAACAAAAACTAAGAAAAAACTTTTTTTTTTTCAAACTTTTCAGTGGTTTTTGGTTTGTTTAAGAAAAAATAAAAAACCCAGAGGTGATTAAATACCACCAAAACAAAGCTCTATCTGTCACAAAAAAATGATAAAAATGTCATATGGGTACAGTGTTGCATGACCGCGCAATTGTCATTCAAAGTGTGACAGCGCTGAAAGCTGGAAATTGACCTGGGCAGGAAGGGGGTATAAGTGCCCTGTAGGCTAGTGGTTAAGGATAGCCATCATATGATATTTATCACATAGTTGTTTGACTCCTTTTTAAATCATAATGATAAAATAAATCACCCAAATGGCCATGATCAAAGGCCACAAAATAGCCTGGTGAAGTGTATCAGGGTGTTGTCAGGCATATTGTAACTGGGCTTTGTTGTGACATTGGCACAGTAAAGGCTTCTTTCTGGCAACTTGACCATACAGCTCATTTTTGTTCAAGTATCATCGTGTTGGGCTCCTTCAAACAACCACACCATCTTTTCCCAGAGCAGCCTGTATTTTTCTTACCTGAGTTTTTTTCTTTTTATCCCAAACAATTCTTCTGGCAATTGTGGCTGCAATCGTTCTTGGTCTGCCTGACCTTGGCTTGGTATCAAGAGATCCCCAAATTTTCCACTTCCTAATGGAGAGCTCCACCCAAGAGGGGAAGTTCCGCTTTAAGTACTGGCACCTTTAGGGAGGGGGGCGAGCTAACCTGATTTTGACAGGTACCTGCTCCCACTTCTGATGCAATTGCCTAGCCAATTGGAAGCTGGAAGGAAGTATGGTGGCCATCTTGCCTGTGTGTTCCACCACACTCACTACCGCTGGTCGTCTCAGTGTGTCTTCCTGGCATTATACCTGATGAGCTTTTATCTGACTGCTATCTTGTAAATGCTTTTAACCTTTACTACTCAATAAACTGCTGCGTATGCACTTAGAGACATCTTCCTTGTTAATTACACTTAGGATTCCGGCACCGGGGAGCGAGGTTGGCCAGTGAAAGGGGCTTCATTCAGTACACCACTACAGTTTTTGTAGCTGCTGACTTATTTTTTGTAGGTTTGACTGGAGCTTAGCTTTATTAAGTGATTGAACAGTACTGACTGGCATATTCAAGACTTTGGACATCTTTTTATATCCTTTTCCATCTTTATAAAGTTCCATTACCTTGTTACACAGGTCTTTTGGCAATTTTTTCTGCTCCCATGGCTTAGTATCTAGCTTGCTCAGTGGATCCACATGAGAGCTAACAAACTCATTGACTATTTATACACAGACACTAATTTCAATTTAAAGCCACAGGGGAAATTAACCTTTAATTGGTTTGTTTGCCATTTTAACCTGTATGTGTCACCTTGTGTGTCTGTACCAAGGCCAACAATTCCAGGGTATGGAAACTTTTGATCATGGCCATTTGGGTGATTTCTCTTATCATTATGATTTAAAAAGGAGCCAAACAACTATGTGATAACAAAAGGCTTCAAATGAACACTATCCTTAAATAAAAGACAGTTTTTGGCATGATCAGTCATATTTTTCAATATCAATGTCAAAATTTCATGATTTCTGCTAGAGTATGCAAACGTTTTGAGCACAACTGTAAATGAGGACAGAGGATAACCACTTAGATCTGCATCCATGGTATGCTGAAGAGTAAAGAGGCATATTTCTGGTGATACGATAAATACTATAGTGATAAATCCAGAGTGGGAAAGTGATGTGAGAGCAAAAGTATATTTGAAAAAACTCACAAACCTGTAATCTGTACATTGGCTATTTCTGTCAATTGTCAGTTCAATTAATCCGTTTACACAGAGGCATGTGTAAGTATATCTGATTTCACAAGCAGGACACATACGCACGAAATACTGAACATAAACAGGGCTGTAAGGGTTAAATTAACTGTGAGTTTCACTTGAAGAAATGGATAGTTCCAAACAGCCTGGAGGTTAATTGAAACCATAAACCACTGTCACTTGGAGGTGTTATAAAGTGCAATGACAATGAACAGTTAGCTGTTTTTGAAAGTATGATGTAGTTTGGTGATGAAAGACTTGTTGATAGAAGCTGAAAGCTGATACCATGGGAACACTTTCAGGTATGAGGTCATCCTCCATCTGCAGGTAGACAGTCAGGAGTCTATTATTGGATGCCTTCTTATTAACCTTTTGGTGCCAGCCATCTTTTAATATTTCAACCAAACTGGAAGGGATTATTTGGAAATCTTTGTGTAAACATATCATATATTTATTTAGAAGAACATCTTTTGTGGGTCTTAGGGCATATGGGAATAGGATGCTTTACTTTCAGAATTGACGTTACATTTGGTATGCGCTGTGTTAAATCAGTAGTTTAATTTGGCTCATATTACATATAATGTTAGTCTTGGCAGAACTCCATTACAAAGGCATACATATATGATCTCTATTCAACCTAGCAAACCCTACAAAAATGGTATTGTCGCAGAATTCCCTTTGAGAAGGTACTTTGCATATGCCAGAAAGCATTTATTAAAGTGATCCGTATTCTGCATTTCAGCTGTAGATTTATGTGACTGTATAGCTCTTCTAGTTTAGTGTTAATCTTTTGATCTCATGTAACATTTTAGGATCACCTTAGACAAATCCAATTTTGCTCACGATTCAGCTCCCCAGGTTGATCCTCAAGTGAACATCAGACCATTTAAAAGCTACGGCAACCTTTTGCTTAAAAAAAGGTAAAGAGGAAAATAGGTATATACTGGAAGATAACCAGGTTAGGTTAACTGATTATCATCCAGTAAATACATATTTTATCTTCTTTTATGTTTGCGGATGTGGCCTGGGGAAGTCTTACTTTCATTTAAAAAAAGGTAGTAAATGCAGCAACAGTGATCTCATGATCAATGTGCTTTTCCAACTTTTTTTGCAATTAAACCTGTAAGCATTGGTGTATTTAGGCTCTGTGCTGCCCTAGGCACCCCCCCCCCCCACGGAGATACCTGACATTGACCAACAACACCCCTGCTCACCCCCCACCTGAGAGAGCCTTCCACTAACACCCCCCCCCAGCGACAGAGAGAAAGACACTCATCTTCACAGCTCCAGACATCCCCAGGAACGAGAGTCGGGCTCTGCAGACACCATCAAGCAGCCCACAACCTCTCTCGGATCCCACCTAGTCCCCATGCCGCATGTGTCCCTTCTTCCAAGGTAGAGTGCTACCCTCCTGAAAAATGCCACCCTAGGCAAATGTCTTGTTTGCCTTGTGGTAAATAAACCCCTGCCTGTAAGGCATTGCATCTGAAATCAATGCGTCACAGGTACGATGCACAAGCTCTTGCAACATAATTCCCCAGCTTCAGGTCTTTAAAGAGGTATGGACCTGGCTAGAGGAAATGCTGCTGAATTACAGAGCAGGGAATGGGAAGAGGAATCCTAAGTGAGATTGCATAGTCCCACTGCCACTGTGGCAGGTGGGATTTGTAGTCATTTACAAGACTCGAGAAATGGACATTGATGATGCAACTATGTGGGCAGAGCAATGCACAGCTGTGCTGAATTAAAAAAATAAAATAAAAAACTGTGTATAGAAGCACCCAGTGATTTAGATAACGATAGGGGTGGTTTGGGTGTTGGGGTTTTGTATGTGATCATGCTTCATGTTACACCCCAAATATAAATTAAACATGACATAAAACATGAGCCTTGCCTTTAAGGCTACCCAATGAGGTGAAAGAGCTTTCACTTCTAGCTTTAGAAGCACTCATTTTCACACACAAAACTTTATCAACTTGATCTAACTTGCTAGACTGGGCAATTTACAACTAGTTATGCCCACTTTAGCATGTTCAAATTGTTCCCTGAACTTTTTTCAGAATAGTGACTTATTGAAAAAATATTGTGCAGGTAGGCTAGTTCTAACTATTCTCATAAAGATGTTGCCTGTCAATAATTTAAATGATAATAGTAATCATAATGCGTGGTTAGCAACTGCAGCAGCTGCAGGTAAGTAGGGAGAACTAGGCAACTGGACATATATAGTAAGTAAAGTTCTGACTGGGGGCATTGGCAACTGTTTTTCTACTGTAGAACTCTACAAATGGTACTTCATGCAATAGGAAAAAATGAAATCTTTTTAACATCTGAAACAACTGGTTAATTATATGTTTCCATTCTGGTATTTATTTCAAAACTGAATACGGGATTTCCCCCCAATAAATGAGTTGAAACAGTATAAAAGTTTGGCGTCTTAGGAAAGGAAATTCTTCAAGCTCTCGGGCCAATAATACTAATGTATTTAACCAGATTTGTATAGGAACAAGTATGACTAAACTGGATATTTAGTATTTATGTATTGTGATTCATGCTCAAATTCACATAGCATATTCACATAGTAAGACCAAAAGACTCTCCCCTTAACCAGGATGCCAAAGGTGTTTCATTAAAACAATCTCTGAATTATAATGCAAGAAAATGGTTAGAATGCCACAGTTTTTTGCCTCCTGAGGCCATTTTTCCTTAGTTCCTTAATAATCCTTTCTCAGCTGTGATGAGGTTAACACTGCATGCATGTCTAACACTGTGCCCTTTCTGCCAACTGAAAACCATGTTAGCTGCAAGCAGTTAATATGGCCCTAGTAAGAATGGCACTACTAGATAACACTTGACTTGGCCGGAAAGATTAAGTAGATGTCAAAGGAATAAGAGGTTTTATTTCTCCTGATGTACAGAGCCTCTTTCTTAGTCTGACTCATATTTTCCAGAGTTAAAAGATGTCACTGTTAGACAGGGAGGCAAATTGTGTCCTGCTTAATGCATCTGTCTCCCTCCAGCAACGAGCTGACCCTTACATTAAAAAGTGACTTTTATTTTCTTCAACTACTTT